ATCCCTCAAACTGGCCTGCGACAATTCTACATTTCCGGACAGTCTGTACATTTAAGCAGTAGCGGTGGGGATTTTTCTGTTATATCATTAAACCAGTAGGAGGCGACAAGACCCCATTCACTTCAACTCGTTCAAAAATGATTAATTCAGGTAAGGAATGAAAAACCACTAAGTACATTTGGAAACTGAAGAAAAAAATTGAATTAGGCAATACAAGATATGTTACTCATTAGTACCTTATTTATGTTAGTTTTTGAGAACCAACACATTCTTCTTTTGCTAGTTCATATGTTTTTTTGCATTGTACCTCACAAAAAGGCAAGGAGGCACCAAATAATATCATAATAACAATATACATCTTATATTATATAATTATATAATACTGTATATAATTGAGGTTGACTAGAGGCTGTTATGTTATTCAGGTGAGTGTTTGCCTTTTGTTTTGGCCTTTTTCACAGTATTTGCACAAGTGTCTTTTGTTTGTTTGTGAGTCAGGGGCTCTTGAGACGGGCCATGGCGGGGTTGATGAAGGAGAAGTTGTTGAACATGGTCTGGTCCACACTGTTGATCATGATACAGTCTGTGACGGAAAGTCGAGGCTTCTCGTTTATGAACTCCTTATCGAAGTTACTACAGTCACTTGCTGATTTCTGTAAACAGAGAGTTAGTGTATCAGTCAAAGGTCAACTCTGTTCCTAAATCTAGTGAGCTGTTGCCTTGCTGTTTACCGTAACTCAAATGGAGCCTCAGAAGTTACTCATTTGAAATGATCTTTAACATCGTAATCATTTCTCAATAATGTTGCACACCACAAAAAACATACTCAATGTTAGCATTTGCTAAGCTAAAAACGCAACATTCTAATAACACTCTAACAACACTCTATAATTAAAATAGTGGTTAATGGAAATCAAAGACATGCATGTTGTGCATCTTCTAATGTTTTACCTCAGTGAACCATAAACGCTTTTTTTTATTACTGAAGTTCATGTTTCAATACATATTCATTGCATTCAAGTCACCAAAACAAAAATATGAGAAATATGATATTTTTGTTAGTTTCATCAGAACAACTAAATGATTTAAAATAAATCTCCTTGTAATTACATAAATTACATA